CTGTGCAAAGGCCATCAATAACCTAGAAAGTGGTCAAAGGACAACAAACAGGAAGGTGAAGGGCTCTGAATCTATGCCATAAGAGAATCAATTGAAGAAATTGAGCCTATCTAACTTGAAGAGGAAAGAACTCCAGCAAAACTTGATGACTGCTTTAAGAGAGGCAGCATGGCACAGGTTTGGGCACTGGGCTTAGGGCCAGAAAGATCTGAGTTCAAATCCTGGCTCAGATACCTATTAGCTGGGTAATCTTGGGCAAATCATTTAACCTCTCTATGCCTGTTTCTTCATCTGTTAAAAAAAAAAAAACAGGGTTTGGACTTGATAGCCACTAAAGTCCTTTCCACTTCTAAGATCCCATTAAGTACCTAAAAAGTTGCCACATGGAAAAAGGATTAAATGTGTTCTTTTGGCCTCAGGAGGTAGACCTAGAAGCAATGCATGGGAATTGTCATTTAATTTTGACATAAGAAAAGGCTTCTTGATGATTAGAATACAATGGAATATAACACAGAATAGGCTACCTGATTGGATAATGGGTTCCCCTTCTCACTGGAGGTTGTCAAGCAAAGGCTGGATGTCCATTTGTAAGATATGTTGTAGCAGGGATTCTCTTGTAAGCGTGGGTTGGATTAAATGATCTCTGAGAGCCTTTCCAACTCTGAAATTAGATGAGTCTCTACACAATAGCTTAGTAAATTTAAGGGTCATCTAGCATAGGATCAGTTAGATTTCTTTTGTATGTACTTCTATATTACCTTGCCTTATTTCCTGCATTACCTTAGTATATTATAAAAATTCTTTTTGTCATATAAATCAGCCCTACAAAACATAACTGTGAATCTGGAGTGTGTAGTAGTAAGAAAAGGGCAAGATGAGCTAGAAGCAAACACCATGATAAAACGGGGGTGGGTTGGGGGAGGGGGTGAGCAGGGCACAAAGGGGAAATCAGTTTATTAGGTATAGTAATCTTTTTAATCCAGAGAACCAATCAGGCTCAACAACTAAAACAGGTCAGTAAGTAGGACCTTGAATTCAGTGAAGGTCTAGAAAACAGAAATAAATTCCAGGGTTAAGTTTACATGGATCAGTTCTGAGAAAACTAGAATCACTTAGGTAACACATCTTAGCAAGGCCTAAAATCCAAGGGTGGATCTTATGCAAAACTATCAAATACTACTTGGGGTCAGCAACTCTAAACCGTTTCTGCTTTTCACAGTTTATTTCTTCTTCCATATCTTAATAAAGATCCTTTAAAAGCTGTAAGTCATTTCACAATGACTTCCATAGCAAAAAGGTTTCCAATATAAGCTAGGTGGCAGCCCTTCAAATATCTGGTTTTAGTTTAGGGTTTCCTGAACTCACAATGTAGCAAATGAGGAAGGCAGCATGGTGTGTGAGAACAGCCCTACCTTTAGAATCAGAGGACCAAGGCTTGAACCCCAGCATTCTGCTGTTTCCTTACCTGTATGATCTTGATCATTTCCCCTCTCAGATCTGGAAATTTCTCTGACTTGTACAACAAGAGGAATGCACTCAAGTTTTAAGGTTCCATGCAGCTCTAAATCTTATGATCTAGATAATCAAGTGCCCTTATTCGGGTCTGACCAAAGGAAGATCCCAAGGTTCTGTAAGTTTCTTCCATTTTGTGCTCAGATTTGTGAGAAAGTTCACCTAACCTTTGTGATTTCCTGGAAGGATCAGGGTGTAGGCAGTCAAAACCATGTGGCTGGTGGTTCATAGCAATCTTGTTTTGATCATGTTGAACAAGGGAGCTACAGATGTTACAGACTATGTAAAGCAATTTGGGGAAAGCCCAGTAGTAGGATATTTAATTTTACAGAAAAGTATGGTGTGGAGAAGATTTTCTCTAATCCATTAATCTAAAAAGTAACAGAAAATGGACATTTTGTAATTAAAAGGAAAAAAAGGGTGTTATTCTCCCAACAGATAACAGAACTCAAGGATAATTCAGTTAATTTACCTGAGAAGAGGACAACAGAAGTAGGAACTGATAAGCTAATGGGGGGAAATTTCCTAAGGAAGCTCCTTGGGCCAAAAGCCCTAGACTTATAGCCTTCTAGTATCTATAAAAATACTAAAATATCCATACTAAAGCAATGTTTCAAAATGAGCTAAGAAAAGAATCTATTTGGCTAGTGATTGTCAGAACAGCTTTCAGATGGTAAAATACCCTTGATATTATTCAGTGATCCAGATAAATTAATCTAGGATTTTCTCAGACTGAGAGGCAATAATCTCAAGGAAAGGTCCCATGTAAGGAGGCAGATTCTGGCACACAATAAAGAAAACCTCCCTAACAATGAAAGCTATCTAAAAGTGGAATGCGCTATAATCAAGAAGTAGTGAGTACCTCATTACTAGAAACGTTTAAGCTAAAGCTAGATGACCACTTGCAGGGTGGAGAGAGTGTTGTAGAGGGGATTCTTGCTTCAGATATAGCCTGGACTGAACAATCTCTGAATTTCCTTCCAGCCATGAGATTTTATGATTCTATATCCATTCTCTGTAAGTACAGACAAGGTAGAAGTTATTAATCAACAAACTTAGTGAGTACATAATAAATACGTACTAATAACCTGGCAATGGTTCATGTTCAAGGGGAAAAAGTCACAGATCAAAGGTTGGGAACTGCCACAAATCAAAAAACAGATGAAAACCTTTTGAAGATACACCCAGTTATCCTAAATTTTTGCCTCAGTTAAAACCAAAGTCTCTTAGACTAAATGGTCAAAGGGAAAGTCTTAGGTAAATTGATCAGGATCCCTAAATGTTAAGAGACATTTACTAAGGGAGTGCTCATCAACTGGAAAATGGATGAACAAATTATAGTATATAAATGTAATGGAATACTACTGTGTTGTAGAAATGAAGAAAGAGATAGTTTCAGATGGACCTGGAGAAACTTGTATGAACTGATGCAGAGTGAAATGAGAAGAACCAGGAAAACAATTTACAGCATAACACCAATACTGTAAAAACAAAAAATTTGAAAGACTTAAGAACTCTAATCAATAGACCAATTAATCATTGTTCCAAAGGACCAATGATGAAGAATATTATCCACATCCTGACAGAAGGGAAGTGGACTACTATGTAGAATGAAACACATTTTTAGACGTGACCAATAAAGGAATTTGTTTTACTTGACTATACTTATTTGTTACAAGTTTTGTTTTTATTTTTTCTTTGAAGAAGAGAGAGGTTGCAAGAAGAAAAAAAAAAAAAAAACAGGCATTTGACAAATGCCT